GCGTGGTTGTCCTATGGATGCATACTCGCCCCTGTGACAGGAAGGGGGAACTTCCACCGTTAACTGAGAGGAGCAATGCGTCAATGCTCATTTGAGCAGGAAATGACTTTTGAGTTTTACTTCGATTCGCGACCTCAAACTGGGAGATTCTGTCCGGCGACTTGGGCTGAACTTACACGCCACGACCGAAAGCGATGTTGCAGCTTTTGCGAAGCTGATGCTGAATCGTGCAAGGCTGCGTTATCCGATGTGCCCGAAGATGAATTGCCAAGTGCGACGGGCAGATCGGAAACGCGGACGCCGATGAAAGAAAAGGAACCAAACGCTGCCAAGTGCGCAAAGCGAGGCTCGAGAGGTGCACGCTGGGAATTGCAGAGTGAGAGAGACAGCGGGAGGAGCAGCAGCCCCCTGTTGGCGGGAATGGGCAGGGCGCGTCCCCTAGCAGGGAAGAGGGCCGACGGTAGAGGTTGCAACCGGGTGCCCGATACTCGTACGCTACCCGATACCCGGCTACCCGTACCCGGCTGGGTACGGGTACAGGTAGCCATTTGCGACCCTGGTGCGGCCGGGTACGGGTACTGGTAAGGAATCAAAACCCGTTTGCGACCTCTGCCCAGTGGTGCCCTTATAAAACTCAACGTTTAACCTACTCACGCCGGCTTGTGCCCGGAAGAGGGCCGACGGATGAGGCACTAATCTTGGGAGTGGCAGCCACAGGGATTCAGCAACTGATCCGGGAGGATGGAGCGACGCGATGAGTTACGGCGTGCGACGCTGCAGCACGCTGGATTGCGGCATCGTGGGCGATGACCACGGGCCATGGCGACGAGCACGAGTGGGGCAGCCTTCATCCAAGAGTGCACGGACCGCAGGCTCACGACGACGAGAAAGATGACGTCGTCGCATAACTGCGGCCGCATCTCAAGGCTGCCGTTCGTAGATGGAGGCGGGCAGTCTGTGATGGTAACAAGTGCCGCGAAAGCGAGGGAGGGGAGGGAGGAGGAAAATGGGCGCTGCGCCCTGCTCCAGAAAGAAGCAAGGGGCGCCAGCGATGCCAAAGGAGTGGAGGAAGAGGCATGCAGCCAAGGACAGCGCGTGCTGTAGTGCAGCAGCTCGCTCAAACATCCACAGTTCACGTTCATAGACTGGTTTGGGCAAGTGCCACTCAGCGAGTCGCACCGAAGAAGGCCTGCACGGTCCACGAGGAAGGCGGGTGGCCAGCACCGCGCCCGCACCCGGGGCCGCCTTTGCCGATGTTTACAAGCCGTGTCAGGCACTCGCTTAAGGCCGAGTCGATCTAGGGGAGGCCCGGGGACCGGTTCGGATATTCGCCACAGGTTTTGGTCGCGAGCGGTAATAGAACTCGGGTCGGGCAGGTTCGTAGCGCAGCGCGTTCACCACGACACTCCCGCTTTACAATCTACTGCAGGCACTCGGAGGTCCAGGACTGATTCACACACACACAAATTTAAAGAGGAACAGGAGGGCTTGGTGTGACTGTAAACCCTCATAGCCGCCCGGCTTTACAAATTCCAAAACAAAGAGTCACTTACTCTTAGGTTTTTTCAGTAAAGCCACGTAGGTGAAAATAAATAATAAAAATAATAGAACTAATAAGAGAAATAAAATCACTTGATACAGTAAATTTAGCTGTGACGGTCCCACCTGATGACGGAGACTTGTGTTGCCTCCGAAACGTCGTGATTTATTATTTTATTTATATTATTATTTCTATTATTTTTATTATTTATTTTCACCTACGTGACTTTACCGAAAAAAGCTAAGAATATGAAAAATAATAACATGAAAAAGGGATTTATTCTAATAGATGGGGGGTGGGGGTCGAGATGGGGGGTGGGGGGGCAATGAGGGGGGGGGGGGCTGATGCCGCACGGACAAATATTCTCAAGTTGACATTCGCCAGGTGCCACGGACGGGCGGTCAGCCAAGTTCAAGCGTGGCGACGTGGGCGACGTGGGGGGCCCTCTGCTTGAATAGTTTTGCCGAGCGAATGCTGCGTCCGGCTCGCGAGATAAATTGCGCGCCTTGGATTGGAGTCTGTTAGCACGGGCGGAGGAGGGTGTGCCACGCACACGGGGCCTTTCAGTGAAGCGACCTGACCAACAAAAGAAAAATCAACTACGAGTCTGCGAGTCTGTGCGTCGGAGTGCTCCGTCGCCTTGCGATCCCACAAATCGCGGGGTTTTAGCCCGAACCCCCGGACAAGAAAGGAGCCAGACAGGGCACGTTGAAGAAACGCGACGTTGTGCATCGCGGGGTCTGTTGCAACAACGGTCCTGTTCTTTATCCCCCCCTCTCCGTGCCTCGGGCGGCGGAGAAAAAAAAACCCAATCCCTCCGCCCTGACCACAGAGGTCGCAACCAGGTACCCGATACCCGTACCCTACCCGATACCCGGCTACCCGTACCCGGCCGGGTACGGGTACAGGTAGACCGTGAGTCACTGGTGAGTAACCGTTTGTCACTCATTTCGGGTAGGGTACGGGTACAGGTAGGGAACGGGTACCCGTACCCGGCCGGGTACGGGTACCCATTTGCGACCCTGGCGCGGCCGGGTACGGGTAAGGAATCAAAACCCGTTTGCGACCTCTGCCTGACCGGTGGCACTACCTACGCGTGACGGATCTGTGAACCGACACACGCCGGCGAAGCCAGAGAAAGAGAAGCCACAAAAGCGAAATTCTGGCGAGCCGATGGGGAATCGAGTGACTACCGCTATTTGTGTCCGGACTTGTATCACCGCCCCGCGCAGCCCGTACTACGTGCGGCACATGTACAATCGGCTCCGCGCTCAAGGGTGAGCGAGCTGGAATGACCGAGCAAGTTAGAAACCGCCAAATACAAATATTAATTATTTTAAAAATTCCAGAAAAGCATCATGCCTGACAATGAATTTCAAGAATCTTTTTCAGCCTAAAGACGTTTTTCAGGCATGCCCTACTTTATCAGGATAATTTGGCCACTTCTACAGATTTTATTTTTTACAATTTCCACGCGCAGGCGGTGTCCTAAAGTGCCTCGCGACCAGCAATGAACAGCACCATCAAATTTGTAATCCATGAGCGTTTACACGATTATTGAAATGGGCAAGGTTGTTTTAAAAACTTGTGAGGATAAGGGAGATGATGGGAAGGGATTATAAAGTCGAGCAGTGCGGGCGAAGTAAACGTAAACAGAAGTGTTGTTCGTAATAAAAGTTTTTGTTGTTGTGACCTGCAGTGTGGGTGAGAGGGTGAGCGAGCGAGGGATCGGACGGGTGGACAATTAAGGTGGGTGGATGAGAAATTGCACGGCGAAGTGAGTGAGTGGAGTGAGTGTTTATGACATTGCGGTGCAGTGGTTGAACACTGTGGATGAGACCAAACAGTCAAGTGTCTGGTAGCCCGAGCCTTCAAAATGGGTCGAGGAATGAGCGAGTGAAGTTCACGGAAGCAGCAAACCAGGTTAGTAGCGATAGAAGAGTGACAGGGAGGTGGCTGACCGCCGGTGAGCGAGCGATTGACCGGAGCGAGTCGCTGAGTGATGCACAGTGAATCACCCTGACCACTTTAAGCCAACTTCTCTCGGGTGCAGCGAGGGAGGAGGAAACTGGGGGCTCCACCCCAGCATTGATGACCACGTTGAGCTTCGTGTAGCAGAGGAGGCCACAATGGCAGAGGAAGCCACGAGTGGTTTCATCACAACTGTGGCCAGTCGACGAATTCTTGACAATTTGCCTGAGCTTGGCTGAAGGATGTGCGAGGCATTTCCTCCGAATTAATCATTCCTTAAAATGATTTTACGAAACTGCTGCACCCATTTGTCAAAGTCAGCTCATGCTCATATTTATTTACATTCAAATACAAATAAGGACAACAGTAATGCCCTATATTTATTTATTTATACAAGGACGTCTCTCGCTGAGTCTCAAGACTATTTTTCAGGAAGGCCCCTGCTAGATTGATATGTTCGTCAAAATTGTATGAATGGGAGTTTGGCTTCGTGTGGAGATTAAAGTGGAACACCTGGAGAAAACTCGCCACGCCCTGGTTACACCCCCGACAGGTAAATCGCATTGAATAGCTTCCTCGCCACGAAGGCCAACACCAACCATCATTCACCAAGGGGCATCATCCATCACGTGTGCTACAATAACCTCAATCAACGGCTGCCGTTCTGAATTAAACCGTGCCCATCTGCTTCCGATCAACGCGTGATTGGAACAAAGTGGACCGTTCGACGATTCGGTGTCCATTTGGCCCTGGTCGTGTTTGGATAGCTGGAGCTGCTTGCCCACAGCGCGGGGAGGAGGCTTTTCCGACAGCAGGGACACGTCAGCTTTGTTGGAACGCGTCAACTACGCGGCGAAATAATTGTTGCTGTCCGTCTATCCAATTCGTCCCTCCGCCAGCGGCAAGCTTTGTCCGTCTGCTGAGACGAAGACCTCGGGAGAGACCGCCGCAAAGTCTCGCGGGGAAACAAACGACGAACGACGGGGGACGTCGGTCGGCGTGGACATCCGTCACCTTCGCCACTGCGGCTCCCCATCCTCCTTTCCCCTTTCTGCCACTCCCCCCCCCCCCGCCTTCCCCCTTCCCCCCGCCGGAAATGTAAGTGCGATTAATTAAGTCGATGAAAAGCGGCGTAGTCCGGGCTGCGAGACGTCAACGATGCCGGAATCCGCGCCAAACCCTTTGTATTGTGTCACACGTCCTCCACAGTGACAATACGTCCGTTATTCTGCCGCTTGACCGATACATTTGGTGAAAATTTCGTGAGAGCCTTCCCGACTGATTAGCAGCGGTCATTTGTTTTTGGGGTTTATAGAGTCGGGGAAAAACTAAAAAAATTGGGATGAGTGCCGAGCTTCGGGGCAGCGATGCGGCGAGTCGCAGTCGCCGGCGGCTGGCGCCAGTGGCGGCGCAACAGCCCGGCGGAGGTGGCATCGAGCGTTGCCGGCGTCACTCTCTCTCTCGCTCCCTCTCTCGCTCTCTCTCTCACCTTCATCAGGTGCTTGTTCACCCATTTCGTGAAAGTTTTCTTCTGAACGCGGTCTCGCTCATCTGCAGGGGTTCACGCCACAGAGACACGGACACACAACAACAACAACAACACGTCATACGCCGCCCCACGTTAGCCTCGCACGCCCATGTACGGGGCACAAGTGCCGCTCGCGATCACGCGCCCCTCTCCGCGCCTGCCGCCATTATGGATAATATTGGTCGTAAAAGCCTCATACGTGTTAAATCGGCCACTATTGTAATTCATCTAAAAAATTACACTTACAGGATCCGACCCAAAAATCAATTACGAATAACAGGAAGCAGACAGCACTTACTGCAGACCACTTAGCAATCGACCCCCCCGTATAAGAGGAGGAGGTCACTCCTCTTATCCGGCCATGGGTCTATTGTGGAGGATGGATGATGACGGCAATCGCATCGCGTGCCTACGGATAACGGGAGTTTCATTCGCTGTATTTGCCAGCAAGACGTGTGGAACAGTTTTTTTTTTTAAATCACGACTATAAAAGGGCAGCAAAATTAATGCCACCACTCTCTCCTACACCCACAATTCCCCACAAAGTCGAGACAATGTTAAGTAATCAAAGTTATATTTAGATGGAGTGCTCTTGCCAACAGCATCTTGCAACCCAGCAGAATTCGTTTAAGGAAATCCTGGCTCCGCTGACGAGACCCATAAGGTCAAAGCCCAGTCCCAGAGTTGGCTTGCTTAAACGAATGCTGTTGGATGATATTGCTCCGGGGAGCCCAAAAGGGCTGATTGGGCTGACAAGATGCTGTGCCTCTATGTGGAGGCCACCACAGAACGAACGGAGCTTTGCTTTATATCGACCCTGCTTCTGCACGCGTGTACGCTGGACTTCTTTAGCACCACACGTAGCCAACCATGCCAAAGCGGAGGCGCTGTTTTGTGGAAGTCCCCGCACGTGTTTCTGACAGGGCTTATCGCTCGCAACGGCTCTGAGCCTCCTGTGTCCGCAGCGGCGAGGGATGGGTAAAGTGCTGTCAGTGCGTCTGGTTGCTAGCGCGACAGGCCGGACAACAATAAATGGATAAAAACACACAAACAACTCTCTCGCAACGACAAAAAAACGTGCTCGCATGCAGACGCACGGTGCGGGAGAGGGGCCTCTGTAAGCAGACTCGCTCAACCCTGCTAACCTGCTCACTGGAACAAATGTAAATAGATCCCCCGTGTAGCCTTAAACAGACCTCTGTTGGGGCAAGCGCTGTTAGCGAGCAACTATGAAGGCCAGCACCGCACACAAGGGAGGTGGGGTGGCCACACCACCACCAGGTACTCATGTGAGGCCGAGTCGACCTAGGGGAGGCCCGGGCTCGGCTCAGATACTTGTCTCCATTGTTGGCCGTGAGCACGCACAACAGACCTGCTGACAAGCGGTTACCGTGGCACTTATATCGTCAGAGGGCCCTAATCAGTCAAACTCATCCCTTCACCGCTCGTGAACGACAGTGGCCACCACTCCCCTACTCCCACCACTCCTGTGTGCCCCCCCCCACCCCCCACTCCCTCCTTGGTTCGGGCTGTCGCCTCCAAGGCACAAACAAAAACAAAGCTGGGACGTCTCCCGGGATGAATAACATTTCACGAGACCGGAAGAGGAGATAACTACACACAAAGTGCTTGCTGCAAATGAACCGCAATTCCTTTGATGCCGATCTCGTCCAGAGCGGAGTTCTCATCGAAGGATGGCCACCGCATCGCGCGCTTTCAGGTGCGCTTCTGCGGCCGTCTGGAACGCTCTTCCTTCCGACTTTAGGAAGCCACTGGAGCTATGCATTAAAAAAAAATGTATTGATAACTCATTTCTTTAGAACTCACTTTTATGTTTAGTTTGTTGTCCTTCACCCCCCCCCCGCACCTCCGATTAGCGCGGTTGGCTACGTACGGTGCGAAAGAAGTTCAACATACTTACGCGTACATAATACAACGGACGCAACTCGGGGATGATTTTAATGTCATCCCAGTGTACGTGGAAAGTTGAGCCAACAGTTTTAAAGAGTGCATAGCAACGTTGCCCCGAACGGTGGCAGGGTTTGCTGGGAAAAGACTCATTCGCACCCTGTACCCCGCCTAACAAATGAATGCTCAAGACGCTTTTCAGTAAATATACAACACTCATCCCTTGAATGGGTTCGTCGTGTGTTTGTTAGCACAGTCTGGTAAACGCGCGAAGCAAACGTAAAGACTCAAATTCGCTTCAATAGACTATTCTGGTGAACACCTTTTGTCCGCGACGAGATGGTTGGGAGGGTTTCTATTTTATCCATCTCTATATCTATACGAACCCATGATGCTCCACAAAACGGCGCAGAATGGATTGGATTTTTCAGTTTTGCTTCAATTAGGGGGGGGGGGGGTGGGATTGAACTGGAGGGGGGCTGTGATTGCCGGCTCAGGGGTCTCCTTTATAACACGTAGTAGCAGGAGGCTTTAGCCACCAATGCCATTCATAATAGAGGATGTTCTTGGGTTAGATCGCGTCAATATATAACTGTGTCGTTAAACCCGCCACCACCTGACACGGCCAACGAGTAAGGGTTGTCACGTCAACAGAACGTGGCCATTTGGGGGGTGGGGGGTGGGTGGGGGTGGGTGGTGCGGGTGGGGTGGGGGTGGTGCGGGTGGGGTGGTGTGGGGTGGGGGTGTGGTGGGTGGGGGTTTGGGGTGTGGTGGAGGGTGGGGGTGGGGTGGGGGTGGTGGGGTGGTAGGTGGGGGTATGGTGGGTGGGGTGGGGGTATGGTGGGGGTGGGGTGGATGGGGGTGTAAGGGAGAGGGTTGTGGCTAAACCCGGGAGTCCCACGTGACACACCTTGCCCAACAGGAACTCGCCCCATGAGTGACAGAGCGCGGGGAGGGGGGGGCGGGGGGCAGATGCAACTTGCGGAGCCTGCGGCGGATCGCGCACTCCCAGCGGGCGCTGGGTCACATCAAACTCGTGGTGCGGTAAGGGGCCGTCCATAAATGACGTCACGCGATTTTGGACGATTTTTTACCCCCCCCCCCCCATCGTCACAAAAAGTCAGACCCCCCCCCCTCAAATATGACGTCACAAAGCTCTGCCCCCCCCCCCCCCCAAAAAAAATAAAACATGCTTCAAATCGCTTTAAACTATTGTCATTGTAGTGCGTATTTAATGTGCCGCTGCACTCTGATGTTGTAGGAGAAAAATGTATTAAATTGTCTATTTAAGTAGAACGTGTTTATATGTATTTAAAGTTGCGCATTTTGATGTGACGTCACATTTCTAACCCCCACCCTCGTCACACATCGTCACAAATGTCTGACCCCCCCCCCCCCTAGGTGCGTGACGTCATTTATGGACGGCCCTGAACCAATAGAAGAAAAATGTTTTGAACATCTCCGCTGTGGTCACTCGCAATTAGAACCCGCGGAGCGCGTATCACCAATGTATCACACGACCAACGCAAAGGGAGAGGCATCGTCATGGCTACTGTACGGTACGAAAGAAGTTCAACACGTACATGCACCACTCCCAGAGGTCGCAACCGGGTACCCGATACCCGTACCCTACCGGCCAGGGGTCGGCAACCTACGGCTCCGGAGCCGCATGCGGCTCTTTACGGGCTGCTTCTTGACGATATGTACGTACTCAATGCATTGCGGCTCTTGAAATACTGAATTTTGTACCGAATTGGAAAGAAATGGCTCTTTTTGTTATTTTGGTTGCCGACCCCTGCCCTACCCGGTACGGGTTACCCGATACCCGTACCCTACCCGGTACGGGTTACCCGTTTGCGACCCTGTTGCGGCTGGGTACGGATAAGGAATCAAAACCCGTTTGCGACCTCTGACCACTCTGCTCCTCCTGATGTCATCAGGCTCAACCACCTCCATGTACATTTACAGCTGCTGGTGGTCCGGATGTATTGTGACCCCCCCCCCGCCCCCCAATTAAGTGACCTTTGCATTAAAAAAAATACATAAAACAATATTACGTTTTAGAGAACTATATGGGTGGGGGAGGGGTTACAAGACATCTGGACCACCCTGTAATCAACAGTGGTAGTCGTAGGAATAAGAAGTGAGTTACTCGGGCCAAAAGTAAAACACCCCAAACCCTCCGCTCTTTAACTATTTGTTATTGTTCCAAAGCGACCCTGGTCACAAATGATAGCCCGACGAAGTGGCTTATTGCCACGTGGAAATGTACAACAGCCGAAGACTAAATTAGTGGAGGGAAGAACCAGGAGGACCCGGAGAAAAGTCCACGCGACCACGGGGAGAGAGACACCGCAGACTCCAAATATACAGCAGCAGCAGGCGTCAGGGTCGAGATCGAACCCACGACCTCCTGTATACCAGGCGAGGTAGTTAACATCTAGCCTCCGTGGCAACGAACAACCACCACACCACTATATCAGCATCCCTGTATTAGCCCGCAACAACAGTTCTATATATAGTAAGATAATGGAGTGCTATATACAGTTCCCCAAAACCCAACGTCGAACTCCAGCGGGTATATTAACAACATCGCTCGTGGCAGCGTTGGCCACGCCGCGTGACAGTGACCACCACGTGGCCCGGGAACTGACAGCCGCGACCCACACCCCTCCCAGCCCCTCCCTCCACCTCCCAGCCCCTCCCTCCCTCTACCTCCCAGCCCCTCCCACCCCTCCCAGCCCCTCCCAGCCCCTCCCACCCCTCCCAGCCCCTCCCACCCCTCCCAGCCCCTCCCACCCCTCCCAGCCCCTCCCTCCCTCCACCTCCCACCCCTCCCTCCACCTCCTAGCCCCTCCCAGCCCTCCCTCCACTTCCCAACCCCTCCCACCCCTCCCAGACCCTCCCACCTCTCCCAGCCCCTCCCAGACCCTCCCACCTCTCCCAGCCCCTCCCAGCCCCTCCCACCCCTCCCTCCACCTATCAGCCCTCTCAGCCCCTCCCACCCCTCCCAGCCCCTCCCACCCCTCCCAGCCCCTCCCTCCACCTCCTCCACCTCCCACCCTCCGTCCGCCTCCAGCCCTCCCGAGGACGGACACCCGTGAAACAGACAGAC